CCAAGGGCTTGGATGTGTACTGATGCAAAACGGTAAGGTGATTGCCTATGCTTCTAGGCAATTGAGGAAACACGAGGTGAACTACCCTACTCACGATCTAGAGTTGGGGGCGGTAGTGTTTGCATTGAAGATTTGGAGGCATTATCTCTACGGGGAGACGTGTCACATTTATACTGATCATAAGAGCTTGAAGTATGTATTCACTCAGAAAGAGTTGAATATGAGGCAGAGGAGATGGATGGAGTTGATCAAGGACTATGACTTGATCATCGACTATCATCCCGGAAAGGCCAATGTAGTGGCCGACGCACTGAGCAGAAAGAGTACGTCAGGGACGCTACTCACATGTCTACAAGCATTGAGGGCACACGTGGAGGTATCCACGAGCGGGGCGCTCATTGCTAGATTCGAGGTGAGGCCTACATTGCTGAGTGAGATCAGTAGATGTCAGGCCATTGATGAGGAATGTCAGAAGATCCGCAAACGGATCCTTGAGGGGCCCGTCGAGAATTTTCGGGTACGTGATGACGGTCTTTTATTATTTAAGGATCGTGTGTGCATACCAAAGAATGAGGAGCTCCAGAGGGCTATACTTGAGGAGGCTCATTCTTCAGCATATGCCATGCATCCAGGGGGTACTAAGACGTACCGAGATCTGAAGGAAAGTTACTGGTGGTCAGGCATGAAGAAGGATATCGCAGAGTTTGTGAGTCGATGCCTTACTTGCCAGCAAGTTAAGGCAGAGCATCAGCACCCAGCAGGGCTCTTACAACCACTCACCATCCCAGAGTGGAAGTGGGAACATGTGACCATGGACTTCGTGGTGGGGCTGCCACGAACAGTGAACAACTACGATGCAGTATGGGTAGTGGTTGATAGGCTCACCAAGAGTGCACACTTTCTGCCTATCAACATTACTTATCCTCTTGAAAGATTGGCCAAGCTATACACGGAGGAGATTGTGAGATTACATGGAGTCCCAATATCCATTGTCTCGGATAGGGATCCACGATTCACATCCCGATTTTGGCCAAAGTTTCAAGCATCTTTGGGGACTAAACTGAAGTTTAGCACAGCTTTTCACCCACAGACGGATGGACAGTCCGAGCGGGTGATACAGATTTTGGAAGACATGCTTAGGGCATGTGCTTTGGAGTTCCAAGGAAGTTGGGACAAGCATTTGGCCCTAGTGGAGTTTGCTTATAACAACAGTTATCAAGCAAGTATCGGCATGCCTCCATATGAGGCATTGTATGGGAGGAAATGCAGAACACCATTGTGTTGGGACGAGGTTGGCGAGGCCAAACTCGAAGGGATAGAGCTGGTTGAGATCACCAAGGCCAAGGTGAGGATCATTCGGGATAGACTGAAGGCCGCTCAGGACCGACAGAAGAGTTATGCCGATAAACGGCGGAGACCGTTGGAGTTCGAAGTCGGTGATGAGGTCTTCCTAAGGATTTCTCCTTGGAAGGGCATCATCCGATTCGTATCAAGGGGGAAACTTAACCCCCGATACATAGGTCCGTTTGAGATCCTTGAAAGGATCGGGGCCGTGGCTTACCGACTCAAGTTGACGCCTGAACTTGAGAAGATACATGACGTGTTTCATGTATCAATGCTCAAGAAGTACATACGAGACCCATCTCATATTCTTGAGAGACCACCGGTAGAGATCCGTGAGGACTTGCGACATGTGGTGGAACCAGTGAAGATTGTTGGTCAACAAGTGAAGAAGCTTAGGAATAAGGAGATTCCTATGGTAAAGGTCCTTTGGAGGAGTGATCGAGTCGAAGAAGAAACTTGGGAGACCGAGGTCTCAATGAGGGAGCAATACCCATTTCTTTTCGATTAGATACTTGGATTTCGGGGACGAAATCCCAAATAAGGGGGGGTGAACTTGTAACACCGTCCCCAAATATATTTACTTTTATGTAAATAATGTATTGAACCTTATTAAAGAATTAATGAATTTACGAAGTTGTAAAATTTTTATTATCTCATTCGCGTGAAATGTAAATTGCACGTGGGACCCACACCGGGAGCGGGGGCCGCCCGACACTCCCGAGGCCACATATTTTATTCATCTTAGTCAAGATAATATTTATATAGTGGTGGATATTTTATTTGGGACGTGGAAAGGCGCAGAGTTGACCGATTGGGAAAAAGAGGCCCAATTACCGGTACCGACAATTAAACAGATAACAGCCCGAAAATGAATTTCGGAGGCTTCCAAATTTAAGTTTTGGAATATATATTATTTCAGAGGGGCGTTATGATGGGGAACACATAATATATTTTATTTTACCCGATAAAATAAATTATGATTAAAACAGTCCGAAAAAATACAACTTTCGGGACCGATTGTACACTTCGGGACAAAAAGGGTTGACCTCCCACATGAGTGGGGGCCAACCCACGTTTTTGGTCACTCAAATGGAGGGCTTGGCTGGCTGGAGTGATAGAGAGGCATGGGGGGAGGTGTGTGTGAAGTGAAATAAAAGGCATCAAACAAAAGGGAGTGGACCCCATGTATACTCATTGATCAATGAGACAAAGGGCAACCCCTATCCCCCTCTCCCCATCATTCTCGGCCAGAATTCATCCAGCAAGAGCAAGAGAACTTCCCATCTTCCTTCTCCATTGTTGAAGAGAAATCATCAAGGAAGAATCACCCAAAAAGGAGCTAAAGTGCTAAAAGTGTGAAATAATTAAGGTAATGACCTTATTATAACTTCTTCTTTATTTTTTCTTCTACCATATGAGATACATATCATGTGAAGAATCCTTAAGAGGGTTCTACATGTTGTAAGTATGGATTAATGGATTGGAAAGTGATTCTATGTCCAAGAACGGACTTAGAAGCCAAAACGACCGGTTCACCGGAAAATAACCTTTTAGAGGTTATTTGTATTGATTAAGGTTTTATGATGTTAAAACCTTGTTAGGCACTTGTAAAGGGTATTTCAAGTGATTTCACAAAGTTGGGAAAGTCGCCGGAGTTGTCGCCGGAGTTGACCAAAAGTCGCCGGAGTTTCACCGGAGTTCAACCAAGAAGGGTAGAACTTCATACGCTAGTTCAAGGTGAGTGGACGGCTTAATATCTTATAACTTTTGGGTTAATTATGAGATTACCTAAATAAATGTTATATGTGTTCATAATGATGTTTAAAAGATATTTAAACATGTGATTAGCCAACATTATTAAGTTGTATAAAAAGAATTAATTGTTTATGCATGAAATATGATATGAGAAATTATATATAATGCATATTTGCTTTAAGAGTAAAAGAAGCACAAATGGATATTATTAACCTAATTATATGATGAATTAGTTAATAAGTGTAAGACTTGAGATGGCGGTCAACAACAACGTTGACCAATGGTTAATGAATTAATTAATATCGGTTGATATTAGTTAATTATACATTTATATGGTTGCATGGATTTGCATGGATTGTGATACATAAGCTTTATGTAGTGAATTAGTTATGAATGACTAAATATGATATAGACCCTATCTAGCGTGATATGTGGTAAGTCATAGGTCGGGTGGAGTACCCAAGGATCGGGCGGTTATCCTCAAAACTCGGTTATATAGGGTGGAGTACCCAAGGATCGGGCGGTTATCCTCAAAACTCAGTTATATAGGGTGGAGTACCCAAGGATCGGGCGGTTATCCTCAAAACTCAGTTATATAGGGTGGAGTACCCAAGGATCGGGCGGTTATCCTCAAAACTCGGTTATATAGGGTGGAGTACCCAAGGATCGGGCGGTTATCCTCAAAACTCAGTTATATAGGGTGGAGTACCCAAGGATCGGGCGGTTATCCTCAAAACTCGGTTATATAGGGTGGAGTACCCAAGGATCGGGCGGTTATCCTCAAAACTCGGTTATATAGGGTGGAGTACCCAAGGATCGGGCGGTTATCCTCAAAACTCGGTTATATAGGGTGGAGTACCCAAGGATCGGGCGGTTATCCTCAAAACTCGGTTATAGGGTGGAGTACCCAAGGATCGGGTGTGTATCCTCAAAACTCATAGATTACATATAATGATCTAGGACCGGGCGGTGTCCTTATGATAATTTACTTGAACAAGGAGGAGTTCTATACACTCATAGGCATATGGGTGGGTTGGGGTTTTTAGTCAAGAATATTGACTATTACTATTTTTCCCAAATAAACTGGTGATCTACGGATCGGATATTTTTCCAAGTATATATATACTATTAAGTATTTCATAACTTGGGGGAAAGACTATTTATATAAGTATCACCCTATGTTTGGGTCTTATACTTGAAACGCTAGTTATTCTATATTTAGCCTGCTACTCGCTCGGTACTTGTACTGACCCCTTCGGGGGGCCCCACCATTTTCAGGTTGAAGCTAGGGCTTGCTACTTGCACCTTCTCACGGGTGATATCAAATCAGGAAGACGTGGTTCGTGCTTCCTTATTTTCTTTCAAACTACCGAACACTTGCTCATGGATATTTGTTCTACTATAAACTATTTTTGGGGCTTGCATGCCCATGTTGTTGGCCGGTTGTGGCTTATGACTTACCATTGAATATTTCCGCTATTCATTGGTTTAAATGTGATGTTGTTATGTATGTTTACTACTGAGTATGGATGGATTGTTTTCTCGAACGCCTTGTGTAATTAAGAGGGGTTGACTCGCGGGTGACGTCACTTAATTATACGGCGGTTGTACACGCGCTTGGATTGCGGTCTGGGGCGTGACACCTAGTCTCCGATGCCACAACATAGAGGACTTCTCATTCACAACACACCGTTTGGAACCAGTTGTTACATGCATTGAATCATAAGCAACATCATTTTTCACATCAATTGAATAAAGACCATCAACTAAAGAACCAAAACCAATAGTTTTTTATTTATTTATTAAGGTAAAACTAGTACTTGAGAAATTGAAGCAAAATCCTAAAGGAGCTAGTCTCGAAACAGAAATTAAATTCTTCAAAAAACTAGGAACATAAAAGGTCTTTTCCAATCGTAAAATAAAACCGCTGCTTAAAACTAAATTGCATGTCCCAATGGCTTCAACATGTGAACTTATTCTTCCTCCTGAATAGATGCATTGTTCACTTGCCACTGGTTTCCTTAGGTTTTCCATACCCTGCAAGGTATTAGAAACATGGATTGTAGAACCCGAATCAATCCACCATGTGTTGTGATTAATATTAACCATATTAGATTCATAACACACAAAAGCTAATGGAGTACCTTTCTTTTCGAGCCAGCTCTTGAATTTAGAGCATTCTTTCTTCATGTGTCCCTTTTTCTTACAAAAGAAACACTTTGACTCTTTCTTAATGACTGCCTTTGGAGGGATGCTGCCTTTACCTTTGGCATGATCCTTCTTTTTCTTTTCATGGACAGTCAAGTTCACCCGCTCACCCTCTTCCATCATCAACCTCTCCTCCTCCTGAACACACATGGTCAGTAGCTCATTAATTGACCATTTTTCCTTATGTGTGTTGTAGGAGATCTTAAAAGGAGCATATTGGTGTGGAAGAGTGTAAATGATGTAGTGAACCAGAAAAGCATCCGACATGGTTACCTCCAAAGCTTTCAACTGAGCCGCTATGTCCCTCATGCGCATGATGTGTTCACGCACGCCTCTTATCCCAGTAAGCTTCATGGTTGAGAACTGTATGATTAAGGTGCTGGCAAGGGCCTTATCCGATGTAGCAAATTGCTCATCAATAGCCTTCAAAAGGTCCTTGACTTTAGTATTCTGATCGACAGAACCACGGATACCAGCAGATATTTTGGTCTATATGAACATTACAGAGACGGTTAGATCTCTCCCACTTTTCATAAAGATCAATTGCTTCTGGAGTGCTGGTTACCGTTATAGCCGGTGGTTCGTCTTTCCTTATAGCATAGTCAATGTCCATCCAGCCCAAATGAAGGAGAACGCGCTCCTTCCAAACCTTATAGTTATCACCCCTTAATTCGGGAATGTCACATTTCATATCAGAAACATTCGCAGGTTGAACAACTGTAAAAATATAATATATACATGCTCATTATTAATATTTGAGGTAAAATGGAGTTCATGCTCTACCAATGCAAAACATGATTAGCTATAAGTCTAGTGACATAAAACTTACCTGTGGGCTAAAGTTTTACTCAATTAGACATATAAAGCAAACAATTTGATAAAACTATCAGATTATATTTCCATTCTCAATTCCTGTGGGTAGTTTGAGAAAAATAATCTAATATTTCATCCTAATTAATTATACTAATACAATGAAATTCCTGTGGGCAGATTTCAATATATTCATATAATTAATTACAAGTGATGCCTTAATGTGATTCACAAGCTTAATATACAATTTAATTAATCAAAGATGTTGTGGCTATTCTTTAATCAATTAAACTATATCTTAATTCCAGATTTACAGCCAAGTTCTATTGAACTAAAATGAATTAGCTATATTCTGGAGTATTACAAATCACTTCTAGCATTCTGATTCCTTTACAATTTTAAAAAACCAGATTGCAGCTACTTAATTAAGCCATAAAGTATACCACTCATACAGTCATACGTAACTCATACGTAATTAATAAAATGAACAAGCAAGTATACTAGTACAGGATCACTAAACCCATGATTAAAATTTGAACTTTAAGTCTTTAACATGGGAATAGAATGTAAGCAATATTACTAGTGCATAAACAGTAAGTGCCGTAATGCACTTTATATTATGCAGCAGTCTAGAATGCACCTTCTTTTATTGTTCTAGTTCTTTCACAATTACAGAACAAAAATATTGCACTCCTGAGTCTTATCAATCACGAGCAACAAGATGCTATATCCAATATGAGTTCTAAACAGAATAAGCAGCTTATAACTCATGAAACAAAACAAATAGGAACTGATGAATCGGAACTAGCATAATTACTCATGAATAAACTGAGATGGACCATCTTCACCCAAAATCAAAACTTAACCTTCACATGAGAATACTAATCATAATTCACATCATTGGAGCATAATTTGCTAGTACCGTAAATCGTAATACTCTTTAAAATAACAGGAGCATTAATACAAACACTTCATTGGCATAGAAAAGCAGATTTTAAGAATTCATCTTTAATCATAAAACGGGCACTTATCTGATTGTATATCGATGATGAAACAGAATACAAAATCTGATTTGTAAACCAATGATTAACACCCAACCCATAGTACAATAATTCATATATTTAACATATACTTCGTGTATGCTACGAATAAAAACTGGGAATGGGTTCAAACAGAGTATTAAAACCTGGGAATGAACATTGAACATACGTCCTTTACACTTATAATCGGCATATGGGTTCAATTAATCAATTATATAGACGGATGTACGCTCAGTGTTCTCCAATCGCAAACAGAGTATCATCAATTATATACGAATCAGGCATGCTTAAACATAAATTACAGCAGGAAAGGCAGAGATAATAACCGAAGGCTCTGATACCAAATGTAAGAACTGACTGATCTAAACATGCTAAATCTCACAGAACACATTCAGATCAAGACTTTAATTAGCGGAAGTAAAATATTGAATCACATACCTCCAGCCATTTCCTTGAAGAACACAGCCCACTGCCCTACTTGTTTTGCTCTTCCAAGCCCTTCTCTTCACTCAATTTGATGGTGTGTATACTGATAGTGAGGAGCAGACTCGGGGATGAAAACAAGAGCCAAAGTGCCGCTGCTATTTATCGAGTTCTTCCCATCAAAGAACTCCAACGTGTGGCCGAATAATAGGGAGAAGTTACCTATTTCTCTCGGCTTATTTTTGGGTGGGAATAATGGGTAATCCTTATCTAATAAATGGACCATTTCAGAAACGTTTTTCCCCTTAAATAAATGTTATCTATTTGTTGAATAATGAATATTTAAGATATGTTAAATATTCCGTAACTAATGGAAAAACCCAACAAGACAGGGACGTTACTCTTGAGATCGCGACGTAAGGATGTCCATGGATGAAAATCGAGCGACGTAAGAAAACAACAACCCTCTCCAAAGGTTGTTTTTTACTCTTATTGATGGTCATAATGTAACTAAGCATGAAAGGGAACTGCATATGCTGAAATGTGAACGATAGCTTTAAATCAGATGGAGTCAAGCTATGTTCAGAATATGAAATTGTTATCATGCGGTTGGTCCTGGCATCATCTGAGTATCGAGAATATGTGTTCCGAATGTAGTGACAATAAGGTGAGTGTCATTACAGAATCCAGAAGAATGATTGATATTCCTCATTAGCATCACATGTGCACCACTTTCAGCTTTAGCTCATGACTTCGCACAACATTGTACAACAAACGACATTTTCAATGTGAATTAATTAATAAATGAAATTTTTGCCACAAAGCATTTAGAATTCCATTCCGGAAAGACTGAGAGGTCTATCATTCCAAGTGGGAGGCCTGTATTTTCTTGAGTATGGCAAGCATAGTTTTTATTTTTACTTTCAAATATTTCTGCAGTATACATATCACATTTATTGATTCATGATATCATTTTAAGTTGTTAAAATGCACAAGACTTTTAAACACTTTATCACATGTCTCATTTTTTAAGATTGAGTTGTTTTATTGCCTGGTCACTAATCTCACTATAACTATAAGACTTAGTGATACGGTGCTTCATTCACCCTCCCACCCCCTCTTCTTTTTCTTATGAGTTTTTCCTTCTTAGTACTCATTATTTAATTTGATTACTTTCAACTTACAAACAATTATGAGAACAAAAATAAAACGGAGTCACCCAACGGGCTCTTAATCTTATTTTTCGTTTTTCGCACATACTAAAAAGAAACTATTATGTGAAAGATTAGGTTTACCTCTCTGTTGAATAACCATTAACCACATAATGTTCACTCTAAGACCGTTTTAACCCAAAAAAGATATAAATAGGAAGGAATCCAGTTATACCGTGAATGTTCGTAAATGATTTGAAGACCATTCTCGATGTATAACATGAATGTTCCAAGCATGTTTTTACGGAGTAAATAATTGCACAAGCTAGCAATAAATGTTCATAGCATGTATATTAAAATGATAATTGCACAAGATAGGCGATAGCTAAACGATTAACATTCTTCATCACATTTATGCTACCTTCAGCTTGAGCCCATTAGTTAGAGCACACTACAACATATGGTTGTAATTATACAGTTTTTTTAAGAGATTTCTTTTTAGGCAAACAAAGGAGATTATCTTTTAGACCAACAAAGGCGTAGAACTTTAGTTCAATATAGAGTTCTTGTGCAATGTCTTGTTTAATATCAAGACCCCATTTGATAACACTACAACTCCAAGTTTTGAAAGTGTTCAACTTGTTAAAAGTGTGTCTCAATGGCTAATTTGTTGAACTTCTGTAAGAGCCCATTTGGTAGCACCGTAATTGACTGAATCGGCCCAATTTGCTGAAATTTATGAAATTCTAGCTAAAGTGTTTCAATTTACTTATCCTACCTAATTGTGAAAAAAATATTAAAAACATATTTATTTATTTTTTGAGAGGAAAAATATATTTAATATTAAAATCAAGAAAAAATTATACAGAGTATGAAAAAAGCTAAAATGGTCCTCTACAGTGATTGCAGCCAAATCAGCCATACAAATAATTTACTTATTTTGATTATTACAAAATTCAACACACCCAAGCCAAAAGTTATGTGTGGTAAAAAATTGAATGATAAGGCTAAAAAGAAAAAAAAAAAAGAAAAAAAACAGGGTCACCAAAGTGACCAAACAGGCTCTAAATTCTCAATGACCTGAATTTGCTGGATGTTTTTAGTTTGTTGAAAGTGTACTTGAAATGGCTAAATTGAATGTATCTCCTAAACTCAAAAATAATCACATTCTTTGTTCCCTCCAAACCTAACAAAATCAAATTTAGAATTGAGACCATATCAAGAACCTGTGTTACACTTACATATATCCTTGGAGAAACAATTATATTAGAGAAGATCAGGATAATAACTATGGTTTCATACTAAAATTAATGGATAGAAAACATTAGCTGAAACTTGTGCAATATAAACTATAGTATAAACTTCGTTGCTTCACTGCGATAGGAAAGGATACTCAAGCCTCTTGGAGATAATATGTCTGATCTTGGGAGAGATTAGGATATTGGTTAGGTGCAAGATGAGAAGTTTGTGTGTTAGGGACAGTGAGTTGATAGTTCAGGCTGATGTGGGTGTCTTGATCGGGAGAGACTGAAATTCCATGTTTTGAAATTGATTTTTACAGTTAAATCTTGCTTCTGCATTCAGCGAACTCTAACAGGACCTGCTTGGCAAGTAGAATCTTTTTAACACATAACATGTGCACCTTATTGAAAAATGGAATCATATAGCATTAAAGTCCCACCTTAGATTCAATGTGCAAATGAAGTGGTACAAATGAAGTGGATTCCACGGGAAAATCCAGAAAATTTGAAAAAAAGTTTAAAAATGCTATTATATTGATAGTTGCCACAAGAACTAACCAAGCAGATATGAAACAACATAAAAACTGCTACTCCGTATTATATTGACAGTTTTCACCCAAATAAATGGCATACTGCTTTGCTATAACCGGTATATCCAGAAAAATAAAATAAAGCTGCTATAATGTGGATAGATCTAATACGTAGAAAAAACTGTAACACCAATTCCAGATAGATATTCTCAAACGTAAACGGCATAGCTCCCGCATTGTTTAGATGCATCTAAGGTGGCAGACTTTTGTATAATAAATCACACAAAGTGAAAAATGACAAACAACTACAGATTTTAGATAGATCAATCCTCAAAGTTCAAGTATAAAAAACCACAACTGTATTGAACCTTCTTGCCTAGTAGTTGAGTAATTTCTGAGAGAGTTTCTTTTTTAAATTAATGCTCCATAAATTAGACTGATTAGTGTTGCTTTAAGCTCAAGGGAATCTGGAGTTGCTCCATGTGTTTATTACTCATGCCCCCTATATTTTTGTCAATTATATTTAAACTGCACAAGGAGTGCGGATACTCAACTTCTTCGTAGAGAAACCATAGAAATAAAAGGATGAAACTCTAGTGTTGTTTATGGATTGTATTATTGTTTCAAATTTGGTGTTTAAAGGTTATCTGAAGAGGGCTTCTTATGCAAATGGAACATATATTAACGTTCTCCAGTTAAAATATAACAGGTGGTTCATTATTCAAAACGCCACACACTTACACTATATTTCTACTTCAAGATTAACATTAGAAAATGCTAAAGATCTGTACTCTTATCGTAATGCAAAAATTAAGTAAATTATGAATTTGTAAAGTGCAATAACAACAAAAATGATGGAAGATAAACGAATAAAAAACAAATACAAATAGAACTGAAAGCAATACTCACCACCTCCATTAGCCACCACCTTCAAGCAAACTTAGATGTTGCGTCAATTGACCAAAAATGAAGGATTAAAGCTCCTCTATGAAATGGATAGATGCCAGCCAATGTAAAAGATGAAGTTATCAAAAGTACTAATATAAAAAAAAGTGTTTTAAAATGAAACCACGTTATATTTTCAAGAACAGATGAGTTTTGCAAAATAAAAATACTATTAGGAGGTCAAATATTATGATCCGACTAAATTTGTAACTATAAAATTGAACTTCAGACCTGTATTCCCAAGTTAGGTCCAACTGATGTTCTGCTTTGTAATTTCCACTTCAAAGTCAATGGCCATGTCCTTACCCAGCCTTCGTTACCTATCCTTTTCCGACTACTGAACTCCGTCCTAGCAGAAGATGACCAAATTGGAAGGTTATTTCTAAACTTAGATGAAGTTGATCGGATTCTGAACTGATGAATTATTAGAATTCTATGGAAGAAGGAAATCAAGATGAAATCAAACTGAAATTAGGAAACCAAGATGAAATGGAAATACATGAAATGACTGACATTTTCCTAAGTTACTCAACATGAATAGGTTGTGAGACAATAGAGGCAATACCTAAATAAGTAAAATTCAAAATGGAAATAGAGAAGGTGCAGGGGCGGCCCTGTATATTCGAAGGCCTAGGGGCGAACAATAAAAAAATGGGCCTAATTTAAAAAAAAATTGTAAAACACTTTTCTACCTAAATAAAAATGCAAAATAATAATATTTAAATACCTTTAGAATAAAGAAAATACTTGAATTCGTTAAATTAAACATAGTCGAATAATGTATTCAAAATAACCGAATAAAAAATTATTTAATGATAAATAACGCCCCGATACAATACATTTGCTAAGGCCGGTGTCATCAACTATAGCGTCATAATCAAGCTTTTCTAAGACATTATTATGCTCAATACTTAATATAGCTAATAAATTAGTTAAATTTATAAATTTAACTAATTGAACTGCACCTTAGTTCTTCCTTTTTTTCAATTTTGGGCCTTTTGCGTTTTTGGGCTTCCTGAACTTGTACAAAATTATTAATTTTGGGTTAAAACTCAGTCTACTCAAATATACTATAAAGAAATAATTCTGGGCCTAAAAAATTTTCATTTTTTTTGGGCCTAGGGCACCCGCCCCACCTGCCCCCCAGGGCCGCCCCTGAGAAGGTGTGAGACTACCTGTAATGGAACTCCGATGAAAGCTTCTGAAAACTTCTGAACTATAATGAATTTTGAACTGGTAGAGATGAGAATGTGATTTCCCAAGTTCAGCTACTTTCCATGAATGTGTCAGAACTGACATGATTTCTGACGAAGGAGAGGGGTGAGAAAATAGGAGAAATTGGTTGACCAAAATCTATACAAAAGGAGACTCAACA